CTTAGCTAAATGATTCTGCTGAAAGCTGCTGAACGAGCTGAAGCTTACGTGAAATACTCCCGATAGCTGAAAAGTAGAAAGAAAGTGATGAAAAGAGCACAACAAAGCTGAAAAAAGGAACTGAAAGTATAAGAAAAAGGCTGAAATTGGCAGAAAAAAAAGCTAAAGGTAGTAGAAATATGATGAAATTAGCTAAAATAAAAGCTGAAGTGTAAAAATCTTCATCTATCAGAACTAAAGGAACACAAAAATGGAGTTAGAAGAACCCAGTCAAGTTACGTCAGGTTATCTGGTCAGTTTTTTTTTTTTGATGTTGTTGAACGGTTTGTCTTTAATCCAAAGGACTTTGTCAGTCCTTTGTATGTTTTACCGTCACTTTACCTGGATTATTGAGCATGAACTTTGATGTTTTGAACCACTTTGGCCATGGCTGCCTCAGAAGAGTGGACGGGGAGAGGGTGGACTCCAGAAACCATCTTATCACCAGCAACTGGTTGGTCCACTATGTGAGTGTGCTGTTTGTGGGACTGAGTTTGTTGTGGCTCCTTGGACTGATGAAGTCCTTTGGATGAAGGACGAAACGTCTCAACAACAACAACAAAAAAATGTCCAGAGGACCTGACGTAACTTGGTTGAATTTTTTACCTGGATTATTGAGCATGAACTTTGATGAAATTAGAAGAAGTGTAACTGAGCAGAAAACGGCTAAAATTTGCAGAAATTTGCTGAAAGTAGCTGAAAAAAAAACCCAAAAGCTACAATTAAGAGGCTGAAAGAGCACAAAAAATAAAATAGACAGAAAGAAGCTGAAAAGAGCACATAAAAGCTGAAAGAATCAGGACAAAGATAAAACCTAAAAAGCAGAAGAAAAACAGCAGAAATGAGCAGAACAAGCTGAAATCTGCAGAGACTGAATAGATTAGCTGAAAGGAGCATGAAAGTAAAGGTGGAAATAAAAAAACGAAAAAGGCTCAAATCAACAATAAATGCTTTAACTTGTACATTTTTTTCAAAGAGCAGTCGTGGGTGTGACGGCGCGTGATGTTAGACCGAACCATTGTGGTTTAAAAAAAGAAAACGGTAAACAAGATCAACAAACAGCTGAAGTGTTTTCTTACACTCCCAACATGTTGTCGACTCTAAATTTAAATAAATGTTCATTTTGTTATGTTCATGTTTTCAGATTCGACCAAGTCCTGAATGTTTAATATTAATTAATAAATATAATCAAGATGTGTAAATGTTTAGGTGATGAACAGGAAGGAGTGAAGGGCTTTGCTTCAGAGCGTCCACATCCTGTTGTTTCCTGCTGTGTAGCTGACAGAGTCATAAATTGGATAAAATAACATTTTTGAAGACTTGTTTTTTAGGCTGTGGGGGAAAAAAGTTTCTTTTAATAATCGTGTTCTCAGAAGATCTGCTTTGTGCTGACCTGAAACCTGCAGAGCAGCAGAAAGTTCAGCACTTTGAAGTAAAATTAATCGTTTTCAGCTGTTTTTGCTGATTAACTTCTTTTTTTGTGTGTATTTCATGCGTTTGCTTCTGTGGCTGCACAAACGTCTCGCCTGCTTTTTGACTATGAGTTCCCATCAGGGTTTCATGGAGACAAAACTCCCCAAATAAGCAGAACAAAACGTCACGTAGAAGAGAGCCGAGATGTTGTTTCCAAACGTGGATCATACTGATGCTCCTCTTGTGTTTTGTCAGAGGGCGTCCTCCTCCAGTCTGCGATGAATCGACAGGAAGCGACACTCGCTGGCGGCTGCAGTACGACATCTACCAGCACTTCCTGCCTGAGAACGACCCGTCGGAGAGCAGCCTGTTCAACGGGTTGAAGGCCGTGGCCGAGCAAGGCCGGACGGCGAACAGCCGACGGGTAAAGTGATCAGACGTTTATTTAGGTCCAGGAGCTGGTGGGATCACTTGGTCCATTTCTAGACCACAAAAAAAGATCGATGACCTTATTTTAACTTATTTACTGAGGCGTTGCAATGCAACACTGCGTTATTAATAAGCTGAAATAAGCAGGAAAAAAATCTGAGATTGTCCAAAAAAAAAGCAGAAAGAGGCTGAAAGGAGCAAAACTTAAAACTGTTCAAAAGAATCACAAAAGGCAGAAATTAGTGAAAAAGTGTAGAAAAGGCTCAAATTAATCAGGGTGCCCAATACATTGATCGTCATCTACCAGTCCATCTCAAAGGCATTATGGGTAGATGGCATGGCATTAAAAAAATAGACATCAGCCTCTCTTCCATCTATGAAATTAGTCTCTTGATTGACAGACAGGGCAGCCAGTCTGAGGCCCCGTTTACAGACGTGAAACGTTCGGCCGTTCGTTTGCAGACGTGAAACGTTCGGCCGTTCGTTTGCAGACGTGAAACGTTCGGCCGTTCGTTTGCAGACGTGAAACGTTCGTCCGTTCGTTTGCAGATGTAGTGAGTCACGTGAGGTACGTGTCACTTGTTGTATGACAAATATATGGATATATATTTATGCATACTTTTCACGAGTTCTTCATTTTTCTGACTGTAAATGCCGTGCATTGAATTTAACACAAAATGTAACGAGAGACGTTATTTATCTTTGACCCATCAAATGAATGGAATCATTTATTTTCAGAATCAAAGTTTAACATCAAACATTTACATTAATTTGGCAAAATATGAAAATAATAACAGACAGTTTCACAGAAAATGAACTTCAAATCACTCGGCGGTGATTTGAGGACTTTGCTTAAGATATTTCTAAAATATCTGTACTGATTTATGAGAGAGAGGTGGGTTTTAGAGTGAAAGGAGATTATCTTACAGAGAACTGTGTGAGGGAAGTTTAATCTGTTTAACCAGAAATTGCACGCTTCGTCAGATCCTCAGCCCGTCCACGGTACACTTGAGTCGAAGAGGAAATCTTTACCTGGTTTGACGATAGATCAGCTCAGTAAGAGTCCTTCAGACTGTTTCAGCGCCTCCGTTCAGAACAGCTAGAAATCCTCGGAGAGTCGTGCGTGGTTAGTTCAAACAGAAGTATAATCCCAAACGTCCCTGGTTCTTCATAACTCCAAACTCTTCATAACCGGCTGCACTCTCAATCTGCTCATTCTGTTGGACTATCGGACCTGTTGTCAGCTCTCATTCCAACATCTCTCAGAACTCTCATTCTCTTGGAATTCATAATTCTCTAATCTCTATTCTCTATGAACTGAGAAGTTGCCACATTTTATTTGGGTCGACTTCCTGTTCAATTTAGAGCTTTCTGATTCGTGGAAGGACCAGACAGAGGAGTGGATTTGTGACGTAAGATGTTATCATAAGTCAAGGATTGTTTACAACATACAGAAAAGATTATTGCAGCAACAGCAGACTTCGTGGAGTCTCACACTTTGTAATCTTCTCAAATAGTAAAACATGACATTTTTCTCGGTAAACATTTTAGTTGACCGAAAACCAACCTTTAACGTACTTACGACAGCTTGCTCATTTCAGACAGAAAATCAAGAAAGTCATATTCAGGTGATTTCTTCTCTGAATGAGGACCAAAAATCATTACTTACTGTTTATGTAAAATAAAAATTAGTAGTTATTTTCAACCTGTAAAGCATTGAGTGAACTAACACAATTTGATTATCAAAACATTTGTAAGACAGTAATGATTATAGAGGATTGTCTTTTCTGCTTGATTAATTCAAGAAAGAAAGTTCATCAGATGGTTCAGACTTATTCAGATCAATGAAAATAACAGTCTCTGTCCATCTGGTAGATTTGAGGTCATCTGGTTCACTACAGTCCCCCCTTTGGAAATCATCACCTGTCCATGGGGATGAATTCCAACCGTGAACTTAGACCTTCAAATGTCCTTGAGCTTGATGTAATCCAGCAAGGAAGACCAAAGTCAGAAGTAATCCTTCAAGGAAGACCAAAGTCAGAAGTAATCCAGCAAGGAAACAAAGTCAAGGTAATTCCACAATGTTCTTGGTATTCCATTGTGTTTATTATAATCCCATATCGTCTCGATAATCCCATTGTAGCAATGCTTTAACCCCTTGGAAACAGAGTCTGTAATCCATTGGAAAAAGTCATATAATCCACAACGGTAAATCCACAGCGATTGGAAGTGTTGATTAATCAGCATACAGAGGGGTACCCTTGGATTGAACTGAAGAAGCGGCCACTGGATGAAGAGTTGAAACCAACGTCAGGATTGCAGGTCGCCTCCAGCGAAGGTTGTCTCCAGCGACGTCCAGCCTGTGCCGTTCTGGTTCAATGTGTCATGCAATTATGTGGTTTAAGGTGGGCTTATGAAGGGGATTTTACATAAGGCCTTAAACTATATGCATCTGGTGTGTAAGCTATTATGGTTGGGAACAGCTACAACTACCAGTTAAGGGGTGGAGAATGCTGAAAAAGGGGTACTACAGGGGTTTATGCCTATAGAAAGGTGTTCCAAACTATTTTTCCATTTCTAACTTGGTTTAAGTTAGCTTTACATGGTAAAATATAGTTTGGTGTAATTGTCTGTTGTCTTTTTAGACGAACGACTTGAGATTGGGTGTTTGGTTTTCCCATAAATGTTTGGAAGTCTATGGCGAGACTTATCAAAAAGAATTAGCTATCCCCCCGAATAGGATTGTTCGAGTAGGTTCGGCTTAAGCGTTGTGAGTTCAAGGTAGATTATGGTACTCAAAGTAGCAATAATATACATTGACTCCGCAAAGATTGCAATTTAGTGAATGAACTGCATGTTGGCATGGTTAAAGGCTTCTTAGTCTCTAACTTACTACACAACAAAATTCATTCTTACCTCAGAAACAATACCAAAATCAACTAAACAACGTTCCAACACCGACAAGAGTAGTGACTAAGCATCTAGAAACATCGTTTCACAGCTTCTCCTCACCCTGGTTGCCAGATTTCAGTCACGCTGTCCCGTTTTATCAAGGGTAGGTCCTGCGAGTTTAAACTATGGTTAAGTTTATTATCCATTAGTTATCTTCTGCTTGGATGACCCTTGTTCCCACGAGGTCAGATTTTGTGA